AGAGAGAGAGAGGAAGACGAAAGACTAGGAAAGGAAACAGTATACTTTACAAAATCGCGCAGTGGCTCCAAGAGACCGGATTCGGCGGCAACGAGGGAGATGGTGGTGCTCTCGCCTCCCGGGAGGATGAGCCCTTTGCTGGACTCGAGTTGAGAAGGGGTCCGGACTTGGATAAAGTTGAACTGGTACGGAGAAGGAGAAGGGTAGGCGGTGGCGGCGGCTTTGCGCAGGTGGTTTATGTGTTCTTCGAAGCCACCTTGGAGGGCCAGCACGCCGATGGTGAGAGTAGGCATATTGGATATGGCGTCGTGCGAGTGGTGCTGTAAGCAAGGAAGTGGAAGGACGAGAAAGTATGAGGCCGAGGGAGTTTTGACGATGATCTTGATCGTGGTGAATGATCGATTGGTTTAGGCTTGGTGGGTGAGTCTCTTGGTGGGTGAGGGCCGGGATATCCCGCGGTCCGTGGAGAAGGTGAGAATCGAGACGATCCCGAGGGATGACTGGTCTTCCGTGGAAGGAAGGCCCAGTAATAAAACTGTCTATCTAGGCCGAGAATACTCTGTAAGATTGATGATATTTGAGTTATAACTAATGCTTGTTGATAATATGGTAAGGGGTGGTTGGAATTTGTGAGTGCACGACGGTTGATGGGTTAGGGGAATGGCGGTGGCTGTCTTGAAATTTTTGGGAGATACACGATGAGTACCGATAGGGAGGTGGTTCCGCAGTCGGAGAATTGCCGCGTGGTTCCAAAGACGATCACATGTGCTGTATCTACGAAGTACCTTACGGATGCGAATTGATCATCGATGTCGGAGCATTATGATACAACGTATGTACCTTATTACCTTAGGTATCGGTAGGATTCAAGTTGGCCATGTCCGGACTATCCGTCTGGTACCGAATCCTCTGGTTGGATTAATTAAGCCGGCCTTAATTAATTCATCGGGTACTGAAAGATATCAATTCCAGTGCTCCTGTGGACAATGAGTCAAGACGCCGTTTAAGACAGCGAGCCGGCTAAACTAGAGTGACAGTGACCGTCTAAGGGTCTTGCGGAACCGGTGGCAACGGGCCACACGGGCGCGGAAAGCATGGGCGGCGACGGGCGGGAAGACTTGGGAGAGGTGGTACTGTAAGGTACATACATTTGATTACACTACATCTGCTTTCCACATGCCGATAAAAGCCGCACGCACGACCATAAAGTCGATCGAAGGGCATCCAATAGCGGTGCGGGACCCGTTGGACCAGGAAACCGGACAGCGGAGTTGATCGGGCGAGCCATTGAGCACTGGGGGGAGAGGAATCGGGGGATAGTGAAATTTGAGAGACCCGGAGTAACCGTTTGAGGGAATTTCGAGGAACATGTCACAATTTATTATACACAATTTTACAAGGCCGACGCTTTAACAACTCCGAAACGAGTGACCATTTTCATTTCGTTCTTTCTTGTCGGGTTGTTCTCTCTTTTCTTTTACGTGTTGGAATCTTCGGTGTTAAGACTTGACTGGCTTATAATGGTACTTTCTTACATTTCCAGTCTTTTATAGGTATCATGAAGAATAAGGTACATGTAAGACGACCCCCAGGTCCCATATCCTTATCACCAATAATACCCCGCGTCTTGCGTTTTTGCCCCTCTCCGCCCCTCGGACCATTCCCTTACCCCCCTTACCCTTACCCACATACCCCTCGGCGACGCTACCGACTGGCAGGCCTTGGAGGAAAAAAGTCGCCACTAAAAAGTTCTCACATCTCGGGACATTCAATCCGTGAGGGCCCTCGTTGAATATTTTCACCTCATATCAAACCAAGCTATTTCTTTCTAACCCCCTCATAAAATCTCCCTCCAAAAACTTTCCTCCAAAACCCCCACCGACCCCCCTGGACTCCCCTCGACTCCCCTCGACTCCCCTCGACTCCCTCGCGCCTCCTTAATAATCACCACCCACCGTCACCATGACCAACGAGTCAGCTGCGCAAAACGGCAACGCCGCCGATGACAAGCAAATCCCCTCCTTCGCCGTCAAGGCCGGCCTTGCCCAGATGCTCAAGGGCGGCGTCATTATGGACGTGACAAACGCCGAACAAGCCCGCATCGCCGAGGAAGCCGGCGCCTGCGCCGTCATGGCCCTCGAGCGCGTCCCCGCCGACATCCGCCGCGACGGCGGCGTGGCCCGCATGTCGGACCCGGCCATCATCCGCGAGATCCAGGAGGCCGTCACCATCCCCGTCATGGCCAAGGCCCGCATCGGCCACTTCGTCGAGTGCCAGATCCTCGAGTCCCTCGGCATCGACTACATCGACGAGTCCGAGGTCCTCACGCCCGCCGACCGGACCTACCACGTCGAGAAGCACGGATTCAAGGCCCCCTTCGTCTGCGGCTGCCGCAACCTCGGCGAGGCCCTGCGCCGCGTCGCCGAGGGCGCCGCCATGCTGCGCACCAAGGGCGAGGCCGGCACCGGCGACGTGGTCGAGGCCGTCACCCACGTCAAGCAGGTCCGCGCCGACATTGCCCGCGCCCAGGCCGTGCTGGCCTCCGAGGGCGAGGTCGGCATCCGCGCCCTGGCCCGCGAGCTCGAGGTCGACGCCTCCTTGCTGAAGCGCGTCGCCGAGGAGGGGCGCCTTCCCGTCGTGAATTTTGCGGCGGGCGGCGTCGCCACCCCGGCTGACGCGGCGCTGATGATGCAGCTCGGCTGCGATGGCGTTTTTGTTGGGAGCGGCATTTTCAAGTCGGGTGATCCCGCGAAGCGCGCCAAGGCCATTGTGCGGGCCACCACCCACTTCCGTGACGCTGCTGTGCTTGCCGAGGTTTCTACGGGACTCGGCGAGGCTATGGTTGGCATTAACTGCGATTCTATGCGGCCGGAGGAGAAGATGGCCGGCAGGGGATGGTAAAACGAATGTGTAGACGGGCTGCTCGATTGTCGAGATACATGATAAATCTTACGAACAAAGACGAACATCGTTCTATGAATGCCGGATGGGAAGCCGTTATGTTGTTGCTAGTTCTTACGCATGATAGGTGCCGTAGGACGGTAGGAACGAGAGTAATGAAATGCTACAGAGAAATGTATTGTCCTGGCAATGAAAAAGGAAATTCATTTTGGTTGAGTCCTTACGAAGCGATTTTCGAATCCCGATTTCTATATTTCATTGTAGGTAAATGAAGGGGGAAAAAAAAGGAATAGGAACAGGAACAACAAGAAGACCAACAAGAAGAAGAATTGAAAATAAATATGTACAAGCCCCACGGTACTATTATAAAGCCTACTCAGAATCATAGGATAAGCAGCCCACCCATCAGCTTCGTGTGACTCGATCAACATGTGCCGTATAACCTCAACTGACATCTTCTCAAGTAGATGGTTCCTCGAGAACTCATCTTCACGCTCGAAACATTGTATAGAAACGGGAACCTACCAGACGGACACATGTCGACTCTCGGATGCAAGCATTCGCCATGTGTCTAGCTCCCACCAAATATAGAAGAAGTAGGGAGTATCAGTGTCCGTAATTTACAAATTACACGAGAATAAAGATTTGTTATTGAAGAAACAAAAAGAAAAAAGGGGACGCGCGGGTGTTTATATTCCACCCCTGATGATGAATACAAGACGCGGGGAATGAAATGGTCATGGACAAGACGCAATTATAAGTGTAATAATTATTACTGCTAGACCCCTGAGGGGTGCCAGGGAGATAGCCGGTGCGAAATGTGTTCTGGACTTCTACTCTATACCTACCTGTAGTATTGGGCGTTTTCTCCGTTTTACTGTGGCGTCCAATAGAAATGACCGTCGATAAATAGAACGAATATTAGCTTCGAACTTAACCCCTACTATACACGTCGACCTGCGTCTAGCCGGTACTCTAGTACACCCTCTTCGAGTAAAACCTTAAAAGTACGAATAGATACTATAGGAAGATACTAGGTCCTATTTACAGTATACCTTGTGGAAAATCCCTTGATTATTAGATACTTCTAGGTTATATATACAAGAAATTAGATACTAATATATTAACCAAGGGCTATAGCAGCCATTAAAAACAAGTATAAGGAGTGTATTCTTACTATTACTATTTTATATATAGCTAGAGTCTAGAAGACGCCGAGATCTACGCCTATAGGATTCTTAGACGACTCGTCTAATAATTCCTTATCTTAAAAACACACAGTGTAACTGAATTCGATATACGTTACGACAAGGGTCGGGGTAGGAGGGCAGCGAGGGCTTACCGTGACTAACCAGGTGTAGCGGTCTACAGGGCACTTGGGTCATTAATCTTGATCTCAAATTTCTATCCTCCTTTCCCACCGCCCTTCTACAACCTATATCTATCCCTGACTCCTCCCCTTTAACCTCCTTGAGGTACCCTTTTCTTCTTCTTTTTTCTTCTAATCGGCACTCTAACCTTTAGGGATAAGCTTAAGGTTCTCTTTCTTTCCTTGTCCTGAAGTTCATCGCTCCTCCCTTCCTATTATTGAGTCTATATCGCGGCCGTTCTTCTCATACCACTACTGCCTTCTACAGTTTTGCTCTCTACTCGGATATCTCGGCGAAGAGATTTACCTCCGTCGAGCACCCAGCTCGGCCAGGTCAAATCCAGGTTTATGGTCTACAAGTAACAAGGCTTCCGGTATGTTCTTCCTAGGCGCTTGTCCTTTACGATTCAATTACATACCGATTCATTCAATATAAGACGCGTCTCTGATTCCAACCCAGCCTTGCGCACGCGCTCTTCAACCGCCAACCCCTCCATCTCATTCTAGTTAGCCAAGAAATGTTCCGCCACAGCGTCGATTCATCACAACTGCGTCTTTTTGTCTTTTTCTACTTGTTAGCCTACAAGGTCTAAAATCGTCCAGGTAAGTCGGCATACTGCTTTATATAGTAGCCCAGGGTTTGCTAACACATGGCTGGCAGCGGCACATTTTCGTTTCAACTACGCTAGTCTTTCACCCTGGCGTATTGTATCATCTACGGCATTGTGTGGATTTGTGCCTGAGTCTGTCCCCAGAGTCCAAAGACGGCGTGGGAACGACTAGACACTCAAGGGTGGGTGCATCCTAATTCCTCGAGCTTCTACGGGCCTACGGCATCTACAGTCTTCTGCACCTACTGTCTCTACTGCATCTACTTCCGTTGGCATGGCGTGTCTGTTTATACTTGCTCTCAATTAGGGCATCCTCTGAAGACGCACTCAGACACTGGTCATGTAGCTCGAATCCAAGAAGCGTTCGTCCACTGCGTGGATTCATTATTCATTATCCATTTTCTCCCGTTTCTTCCTCACATTTTATCGTCCTTGTATGCTTTACTGACAGTAATTCTCTGATCCACAGATAACCCCCAACAAGATGGCAACTCAAAATCCTGCCATGGCTAGAAGTAATTCACCTGACCTCTTTTTTACCCCCGCCCGCCATAAGCAACTCGATGCCATCGAGAGCAAATATCAGCTTATCTCGGAGGCTCAAGAGAAAGAGTATACGCAAGCCAGGGCTACTTTACTTGCTGCTGCCAGGGAAGAAGCTGGTTGTTTGGCAAATCGAAGCGATATCCCCGTGGATATTGACAGAAAGATGCGGGAACTCATGTCCAACAATCTCGACCTGCGCCTTAACGCTCTGATAAGCGACTTTGAAAGAAAAACAGCCGACTGCGAGAAGGAGAGGAAGGCCGCCGTATGCCACTACCTACGTGAAGAATTCAAGCAACTCCCTAAAGCAGAGCTTAAACGCTCTGGTATTGCTCTTCGAAACGACCGCTCTACACCGCGGGACGGCAGCGACGAAAGTATCAATGTTGGCTCCTCCGCGAGTTCTGCAAATATTGACCAAGAAGTCGCCAATGACGGTCTTGCAAGTCGTCAGAAAACCACGGCGACACCGAAGTCCGACCCCACGTACTCGTCAGGCCCTCGGCCCGAACCCTCACTGGTGACTCCCACTATATCCAACGCAGCCCGTCCCACTCTCCCCAAGAGATTCAGCGTCGGCGGCATCAGATCTGCAAGGAATTCCTCCGTTCATCATGCTCCAGTCCCGAGCCACCCGCATCCGTCTCCGAGGCCGGCCTCGGTGGGTAGCCAGGAAAGGGCTCCAGTGTCAAGCCAGAAGAAGGCGCGCTCTGTGTCCTTTTCCAGTCAAGCCTCTGTTCAAAGCGGGAGCCCGCCCAAGCGCAAGAGTACTTCGGCACTGGAACCCAGTGCGCAAGAATCCGGCCGCACCAAACGCCCCAAGACAGCATCAGACAATCCGCAAGGCGAGAGGACGGTGACGTACGACGAAGTATACCAAGATGGGAAAGCCAAGTACAAGCACGCCATCTTGGGCTGGGAAGGACAATGGTATATCCTCAAGTGCGAGGAACACGGCGTCCACTTTCGTATGCAGGCCATCAACGCCGCTATGAAGCACCTCGACTCGGAGGCCCATGGCAAACTGAAACGCTATTCAGACCGGGCTGTGCGGATGCTGGGGTACCGCGTCCTCGGCTGCAATGAAGAGCTCGCCGAGAAGCATAACGCGATTGTCAAGGAAGCCTTTGAAAATGGCTACACACCACTCGGCATGAATATGAAGGGCCGGTGCAAACAACCAGAAACGCAAGACTCTGCTGTGCCTGGCGCTCCCGGGGCCACCAGCCTCCCCACCGCGACAGGGATGCTTCCGATCAGTGGAAATGCTCAGGCGCTGGAGGGGAAAAGCGCGATAGTAGCTGCAAACCCTTCCCGTGTTGCCCAGAAGCATGCCAACAAACACATGCAGAAAGGTCTGGGTATCATCACTAATCCCAGGGCTGGTGAGCTCTACTTCGCGACCCCGAGAACGAAGCCGGGCGAGAGAACTCGCAGGTACGTCGTTATGATCCTCGCTTGGAAGGATCTCACTCCCTGCGGCTATGGCGGCACCACACTGGGCAGCTTGTCCCTCTTGCGGGATGCGCATCGCCAAGCATGTTACAGGTACGATCAAGACGGCATCGCCAGATGGGCGCCGGGCTACGAGGATGGGGGCAAGTCGGTCAAGAACCGATTCTTCCCCGTCCTCTGGTTCGAAAGAAAGAGCACCAGGGAGGGATGGGTGCGAGCTGTGGAGCTTTCCAACTTTCCGATGTATCCGGTGCCCGTTCTAGGCCCGGACCATCCCGAAATGCGTGCGCGTGCCCAGCACAAGCTGGGACGGCAGCTTATGCGAGCCAAGGGAGCCAAGGGAGCCAAGGGCGTTCAAGTGGCCGTGGGGAGAGACGAAGACCCCGACGCGACGGATTGTGACTCGGACTCGGACGTGCACCCAGGAGAAACGGCGGATCGGGATGGGAATGTGGAGATCCCCACGCTAGATGACGAGGACGACATGGACTACGAGTACGAGGACGTTGCGTCGAATCCCGATTCGATCACCGAAGATCTGCCCAGCACAGCCACCACACCGCCGCCGGCCACGAGTTTTGTCGATCTTACTACGCCTTCGCGTTTGGGCGCTGCCGCCGGCACACGATTATCGGCAAGGAAGACCACCACGGACATTGACGTGCTAATGTCGAATGCGCCTGGTCGTGGGCCACAGCCATCGCCGAGCATCGACCGCGCCCGAGAACGACATGGTCCTCTTTCTGCATTGAAAGACGGTCGGCCTACAGGGACCGAGAAACCTTCTGCGAATAACGTCACCTCCGGTGCCGATCAACGGGAGGAAGACACTGGACTGTTCGCAGAGGCCGAGCCACGCGAATCACCAAATGGACGAAAGGAAGACCAGGAAGGAGAACGAGAAAAACTGCAAGTGCGTCTCGGAACCCCAGTTCCACTTAGCCTCGCCGAAGAGGAAGAACGCCGGGAGTCGGGTGAGAGGGAGGCCTCTCACGATGGCAAAGGAGACAAGGTCTCCGAGAAGTGTGAGATGCAACAGAAGTCGCAGCAGGACATGCGAGGCCAGAATGTCATGGCGCCCCCGGCCATTTCCACCTCTGATGCGCCGGCAGTGGATGGGGGTAAAGAGGAAAATAGCGCGAACGATGCCGGGCAGACGGACAGGGAGCCGGTCGGCCAACCCCAACAGCATCAACCGCAACGACTTCAGTCTCGACAAAATGCAGTCACCGGCGGTGTCCACATGCAGCCTCCACAAACTCAGGGAGCGAATCACTCGGGACCGAGTGCCGAGGTCGAACTTGGAGAGAACCGGCCGCGGTTCCTGCAAGACCTGGCAAAACACAGCCGGGAGACGACGGGATCTAGGGACGAACGTGTCCCGCGCGACGCATCCGACTCTCAGGCGAAGGACGTTCCGGCAGTGACGGCTAGACCGGGCATGCCAGGTACGCCGAATAGCGACAGTCTCGGCCGCAGACACAGCGACTGGGCCGCGAGCTCCGGGTGGATGGGGAACCCGGGCGAACTGGCACGGCGCGCGGTTCGACGACCATCGGATACGCCGCCGGATTCCCGTTACTCTCCCGGTACCAGCGCCCCGAGGGGCCAGTCTCCCTTCGCTGTGGTGAAGAGCGAGCCGGACGCGTTAGACCTGTGCGCGTTCCGGCAGGGGGCCCGGCAGTGGGAGGCAGGGTCGGCGGCCGATGCGGCGCGTCTTAGGGTTGACGAGATCGGCGGCGTGGCGCGGGCGAAGGAGGGCACGGCGGAGGAGATCATAGTGGATCCTCGACGGGTGCTGCGATTCCAGTATAACCGTAGCAGGGACAGAAGTCGGCATGAGGTTGTGCTGCACTACGGGGAGCGGCCGGAGGAGGAACAGCGGCTTATACTAGAGACCCGTCTAGGGCGGTCCAAGATGCAGGGGCTTCGGTTGGTGAAATGGTTGCGGGACGTAAATCCGCGGGTGGTACAGTTGGCTGAGGTTATCCTCCCCTAATAAGTTCAACAGTACGACGGGGGTTTATCAGATACTTTAATACTCGACAATGGTTTGTTCAAGGGGGGACGTGAGGTTAGGAATTTTAATACAGAATAAATATTTATTCCGATAAGAGAAACACTTATATTCCGATATTAGTAAGCCCTTCCAGGATTCTTTAACCAGGGACTGATTTTATATAAGATTTCCATTTTATATAGTATTTTCATTCTTATCCAAGGGGTATAACTTATAAGAGAGTTCGAAGAAATAGTAAAGATAAAGGCATCCGTTTAGAAGTAAGCAGGCAGTAGCTTAGATACTTACTATCCACTATAGAAGGACAGACATACTAGACTCGACGTAGCCATTCACCACCTAACCAAAAGGCTATAAAAGGTAGACCTTTAGCCTAATATAACTTGCACGGGATAAAGAGAGGAATTAAGCAATGTTGTATACCTAGGTAGGAAGAAGAGCGGTGGTTGTCTGTCTGTCTGGTCCTCAGGGGGAGTTCGTGAGTCTGTCCGACTTCTGCCCGATACCTAAAAATACCAAAGAAAATGTTAATGTCTCCTACCTAGGTTATATTGTCGCACGTCAAAAGGCACTTTTAATGATTAACTTAGTAGAGTAGAAATCTCGTGTGTGTGTGTTATATTAAGTTATATCTGGGAGAGTCTCTTATACCCTTAATTTAGGTGGTGAAGACTCTGTTATGGGTACTAAGTCATTTAGATCCTATCCGGTCTTTTCCGGTATCCGCCCCTATTATATCCGAAGCCCTTAGTTATAGCGTGGATCCCCCCTAGATCCCCTATAGACCACGTCGTGGTCCGTATATCTATACAACACACTCCCTTAGTTAAGGTGGGTCTTCTTAGGTTAACTAAGTAATCAGAGGCTTCGGTTTAAACCAAACGCTCTTAACTTTTCTATCGTAAAATTAATAGTCAAGGGAAAACGCCCTCGTAAAAGGGATCTAAATCCGCCCTATTTAACCGTTTAATTCACTTCTATCTTAATTGGTTTCTTAATCCTAATTAGTCGGATCTGCTTAATCGGATCTATATCCATCGGATCTGCTACGCCCTTAGGGGCCTTCGTCGTTACTACGGCCGTGGCTTTAGCGCGTTTAATCTCTTCGTGTAGTCGTTTAGACTACTCGATACGGTCCTTTTAATCCGTTAAATTAAGCTATTACTATAGTCTTTTAATTCCTGCCTCCGGCAGTGCCTTTATTAAGCCGTCCGCGATTATCTCCTTCGTGTTAATGTATATAACCTTAAAAAGACCTTATTATACTGACTAGCGCGCTTACTAGTTATGTATATCGACGTGCCGTAGCCTTATCCGTAGGCATTATGCCTTCTTATTAACGAGGTTAATAGTCTGCTAATTATCGTAGTATAGCTATAGTTACTATTAGTCTAACCGAAGCTCTAAATCCCTTAATATCCGGCTAACGAATAACGTCTTTTTAGCGGCCTCTATAAGAGTGAGTAGTTCCGATTCTGTTAACGACGTTATAACTTGTCAGAATATGCAGTGCTTATACGTTGCCACAGGACTGGCACCAGACTTATACATAGATAGGGGGATCGTAGTCAGGTCAGACCGTCAGAGACACGACGCGTCGAGGTTAAGTAAGCTGGTTAGCTTAGAAGTCAGCTTAGATCTAGTAAGCTGGTCAGCTTAGGAACCAGCTTACGCCTGAACTTAGTCCTGAGGAGGCCTCTCGCCACCCAGTTGGTTAGAAGACCTTGGGTAGGTATAAAGAGGGGAGTGCCTTCTACAGTTCCTAGAGTCTTAGGAGGACTCAACGAACAATCTCATCACGATACCCCCTCTTTAGCTCCTACCAGTCCCTAGGTGATGTTATGTCGTCCAGCAGTCGCCTATCACTCCTCACAGTACACCTATAATATAACTATCGGTTATTTACCCGCTTTCTAGTTAATAGTGCCGCCGAAGAGCTTTATTATATATCCTTACGAACTCTTACGGTCTGGATTATCCTTAAAGGACGCGTCGCTTACTATTAGGAAGAGCTTATCCCCGCCGAATTTCAGGTAGGAGTGTCTTATATAGTATAGGAATAGTAGTATTTATTAAGCCCTCTTAAGATAGTTAGAGGAGGGGTTAACGTTATATTAGGAAAGCTTCGAATAGGCGAATACGATATCGGGTCTTATTACGATAACGGCGTATAGAATAGAACCGATTATACCCTGATACTAACGGACCTCGGGAATAAACGCGCGTGTGCCGTCGCGGGGTATTAGCGGCTTTATTGTTAATAACAGGACTTTTAGTAGTTTTCGATAGAGTATATCTGCGTAGTATTTAACCGCGATCTTCTCTATATAGGAGGATTATAATAGCTATAATCTACGGGTGGCTCTATCCCTTAGGACCTTAATTCCTAGGAATTAACGGATTTCTTCGCCTCCTAATAACCTATAGCTTCGCTTAAGGGTAGCCTTAAGGTCGTCGGCGTCCGTTTTATAGTATTTATAGTATATAAGTCCGATATCGTTAACGTAGAAGAATAGAATTAAACCGTCGCGGATTATAATATAGGGGTTATTAGAGACGGCTATAAAGCCTATCCTCTATAACGTGCCGCTAAATTCCTCCTACTATAGTAGTAGCGATACCCTTAAACCGAAGAGGGCTTTCCGTAGTAATAGGACCTTACATGGTACTTCGTAACCTTACGGTATCTTTATAAATACCTCTTTCTTAAGGCTAGCGTTAACGAATACGTTAACGGTATCGAACTACCTTATCTCTAGGTTAAATCGGGCGGCGATCGCTATTAGTATACAGAAGGACCGCGAGGCTAGTATTACGACGTAGTTATCTTTAGTCTTTAACCGTTTTTATTAATCCCCTCGGACTACAAGGCGTGCCTTACACTTAAGGAGGGTGCCCTCTTTATTAAATTTATAGGTATATACCTATCTATAGACGAGGACTTATTACTTATTAGCCTGATTACTACCTACCTCCTGCTAGTAGTCTATCTATTAATACCCTTTAAGGTATTATAACTGCACAGATACGGCGTTGGAGTGGTTCGGTAGACGGTCATATAACCCCCCTTTCTAAGGCCGCTGGATCCGCTACCTATATATATATTAAGGACAGGCTCGGGACGTCCCTATCGGGGGACTATTATATAATTATTATCCTCTTTTATAATTACTTATTCTACGTTTAAGGTATCTTTCTAGTTTAACTTACGTTGCCCTAATCAGAATAGTGACTACCGATCTACTTCTTCGCTAAAGGTTATAGCGGTATTGGTTATGTTTTGGTTATGCATCGTGGTTTTACTGGACTAACCTCTTTATCTGATCTTCATCTTAACGATCTAGTGCCACTACGTCTTTATCCGGTTATAATATGGTGCTCGGAGGCGGATTTATTCGGCGTCCCTAAAGTATTCTGACCCTAATTAGAGTAATAAAGGCGCTCGAGGGAGGTTCCGGCCCTCCTAAACGGACTATTAGTTAATGACCCCGAGAAGAATATAAAGATAACGACTAAGGAAGGATTTAACGCTTTAAGACTAAGGGGAGATTTGCCCTAATAAGATTAGGAAAAGAAATAACTGCTTAGGTAAGAGTTAAAGAACTATTAATACTTCTAATTATAAGACCCGCCGCCACGGAGGTAGTAATTATAGCGGAAGAAACCGATTAGATCGCGATAGAGTTAGATTCCGGATATAGAATAGACTCGATAGGGGGCTTATAACCCCTACCACTAACTAAGATAGACCCTCGCACGACGGCGAAGAAAAGATAAGACCGCCGAGAGTAGCTTACCCGGATTAGGGTAACTAAACCCTAATAAATCTAATAAAAAGCTAATACCGAATATAGGAGCGAAATAATAATACCTTATAAGAGGACCCGATAGTCTAGTAAGGACCTTTATAGACCCTGTGAGTAGGCCGTGATACTTCTTCGTAAGACTTAGCGGGTAGTGCTTTTAATATTAATATCCGTGAGTGTAATTCTTTTACTAATAGGTAATCTCCTGATCGTGGGGGGCCTCTTCCTTTAAGGTGAGTTAGAAAAGCTAAACCCCGAAGATAAGTATTAAGGAGTAAAACCTAGGACCGCCCTCTTATTAAAGACCTTATCACTTTTATCGAGACGAGATAATATATATAATAACCTGGCTAGTATCTAGAACATCTATAGGATCTTCTCGCTAGACGATTAGTTCGAGGAGCCTTTCCCTAAACACCCTAAGCGCCTTAACCCTATTATTATTATTCGCCTACCCCCTTACACTTACACCTAAAACACTATAGACACTTAGACTTAGTATCGCGAGCCTACCCCTATTATCGTCGTTAGCGACTCCGATAATAAGGCTCCCTCGCCGGCTATTCCCCTTATTCTTACGCCTACTATTTCTGCTGCCCCTAATTAGGGGAACCACGATATCGGGGCTACGGCCTTACCTCAGCCCGCTTCTAGGCCGACTACTACGTCTACCGCGGCTCCGGCTATTATTTCGATAACTACCCCTATTACTACCCCTGCCTAGCCTATCTTTACTGCCTAGCCCGCTTCGAACGCTTCCCCTACCACCGCTAAAGACCTAATTAAGCTGCTATAAGCCCTAATAAGCCATGACCGAGAGAGTATTATTACCGAGGTTATTAGAGCCCTACCCCCTACTACTACTACGTCGAGAGTACCCCTAAATCCCCTCGCTACTAAAGCTCCCCGCTTTAGTGGTAAGTCTCTCTCCACATTCCTTTAGCAGTACGATAACTATACTAAGCTTAACCGCCTTAGTAAAGCCGATAAGATCACCTACGTTAACCTATACACGGATACGGCTATTCGTCCCGCTATCGAATACCTACTCAGAGAGGTTTAAACCGTTAAAGGTGGTTAGTCTAATCTAGTTAAGAAGCTCGTTAAAGAGTTCTCTTATCTAGATCCTAACTACTAACTTAACTTCTCTTACGAGGTTTATTAGCTTCGGGTAAAATATAAGACGTATAAGATTAATAGCGTTTATTAGATTAGGGACTTACTATAGTAAATCACTATCTAGAAGGCTAAGGTAGAGCGGGTCTAAGGTACTTTTATCGAGGACTCCGAGCTCTACGGTA